ATGATTAGACTCAGGAATCATGGATAGGAATTCCTGTTGGGAATCAAGGCTAAGTGAATTTAAATGTCATCATGAGGTCTATTCATATCAGTGTGGAAAAATACACTAAGGGTATTTCATACCCTTAAGCTAATTAGGATCACTAAAGTTCATATAACAGAAGAGCGTAGCTTTGATGTGGATGGGCTGCAATTATGACTATCATGCTGTCTAATATTCCCAATAGAACTCTCTTGTTAGCTGTTTTAAGCAACACAAAATCATAACAATAATGCCGTGATCATTTAAAGCCCTAATGGACCTAGGTTTAATAAGTTAACACTAAAAATTACGTATATTTTCGAAACATACTCTCATCGAAAACAAGTAATCTAGTCGATTGTAATGCCAGTACACGCTTGCTTCATCAACAATCCAACTATATATGTGACATGAGTGAGACCTGCCTGACTTAAAAGTAACATATGCTCTGGGATCAAATGGCACTCTTGGCTGTACGGCATGGTGGCAATGTGTCATACCGGGATAGGCAAGGTCTGATTTCAAATCCCACCGAGGATGCTGATGAGGCCTAGGTCAGGGCCAAATTGCAGCTGAACCCATCAGAATGCATAGATTTATACAGCATTTATGGATTAGCCTGGGAGATTTCTTAACTCGTTGGCTATAAACTGGTTGTAAGAATAATACTTTTATCTGATGATGTACGTCATATGAGAGACGAAAACTTAGTCCGCTTTCAACGGAATCGAAGTAGATTGCCTCAGGAACAACGTCTGCAAGAATGTTTCGGTAAAGCCAAACAACATTAAGCCAAAAAGAATCTGCCATCGTCTTCTGGTTGGATTCACCTAAGAATTGCATACCACACACTTTCATTCACGATCAAGAGATATGCTTTTTGATTCAAAGTCAGGTTGAATTCAATGGCATCCTTAGATCCATTCATAGCATTGTGGCAACACTCCAATTTCCTTCTTTAAATCACCCTGAGTGACCATGTGTGACTAAGTCTTGCTTCATACTTCCAGTTAATCGGACTTCTTAATCGATTCGGTCTGGTACTGCAACGGAAGCATGGCCTTTACTTCAACCACATGCGCCCCTTACACTGGATATCGAAGCACTTTGGTGACACACCTAAGAGGCAAATCACAAAGAGATGAATCATATTCTAGACTTACAGTAAAAACTATAAAGCGCCGTCAAATTTGGCCACGCTGAAAGCAGAAAAATATATGTTTTCGTCTTTGCTTTTCGTTTTGACTATAACCAGCTTTCAATAACTTCGTTATGCTTCTATTACAGACAAAATGTGGTTCGCATCTATCTCCGAACCCATCGTGGCCAGGAAGGACCAAACTTACAATATTTTCCCGACAGGCCAGCGCAGCTCTCCACAGCCTCCAGGGCTTAATCACCATGACGATCCTTGCTTCAGGGTTGCCTCCAGCCCGTTCAGCCAGCCACCAGCGGGCTTAAACTCGGAGAGAGCAGGCCTACAGATTCGAGGAAGAGCTGCTTCAACCTGTGAGGGTCTCTTGCATCCTGTCCCGGGGCACGTAAACTTCATGCTCTCTGGGGTCGATCAGTCCCAGATTGTTACTCTGCCCACTTCACCACTTCCTCTTGTTGGCACGAGAGACGGACGGATAGCCGAGGCCACGGAGATTACGCCCAGCGGACTTGAACCCTGTTCGTCTATTGGCCAACAACAGCAAACTCTGCCTGTCCAAGCCGGAAGTGACCAGCGTGTGACTCGTGTTTTTGTTTGGGATCTGGATGAGACAATCATCATTTTTAACTCACTGCTGACTGGACAATATGCCCAGAGATTTGGAAAGGTGAATTCAAAAGCCATATATTAGTGGAAACTTTGTTGCAAATTGCCCTCTCTTTATTCTCTAATAACAAAGTCGCTTGAAGTGTATCCATCTTGGCACTAGGCTTTATTCCAGGGATAGTATAAAAGTTATAAATAACATTTAAGTATTGTTTCGAGAGCTGTATTCACTGTGAGTGCCATAGGGTGACGAAGGATTGATGGTAGAATTTTCCCAAAGTGATATGGTTAGGTATCACGATGCTAGGGAACGGTACTTAGCCCTGCTTCCCAAAAGGTATTTTAATCCAGGATGGACTGCGAGAAAAGAAAACTTTCAAAGCTAGCCAGGCCTCTTCGATATCACACTTTGTGGTGAGATTTTCGATTATACACATTTGTATTTTATATTTAATTCGACTATATTGAGTAATTGAGTAATTTTCGAAACTACAAGACGAGGTTTAAACTAACGTCCACCTTGGATGTGAATACCTTCCGGAAAACAAGGCTAGGTAAAATTCAATGAACTTGTGAGGTTTTCCCCTATCATTCCTTGACCAACTTATCTGGCATAGGGTGAATAAAGTTTTATTCCGGAGTGCTGGAAGAAATTAGGATGCCCATTCTCATATCATTAAAAGATTAGCATACATTACAGAAATAGGCTTTTACACGAAACAAATGCTGTTATAAATTATGCTTATAATTTTTACCAGATAACCTTGTGCACAATGGGTTGAAGAGCAGCTAAATAACGTCATACCAGTCATCGTGTTATGCCTGGAGTATGCTTGAATAGCAAATCAACATGTAACCGTTTGGATGTAGCGGCAATAAGAACGGCCATGCGTCCCCAATCGTTCTTGTAGAACTTTTAGCCAATTTTTCTCTTTAAAGCAAGCGCAGCGGTGTTTTTCATGATCTCCGCAATTGATTGTGGATAACAAACAACACCCATTAATTCGTAGGTTACCCTT